TTCCTTTGAATTTGTAACTTAACAGAAGCGTTCTTATTGTGTTTATAAGAAACGAGTGCAGATCGTTGTTGTGAAGAAAATTTTACTTAGATTTGTTGACGTAACTTGGTTTATGCTCTCCAAAATGCTATCCCGATCATTGCTCATAATGCTCCTGCAATGTTCGTCATAAAATCCGATGTAATAATAAACTATTCTCCGTATTCGTGATTGATCCTGCTAGAAATGTTCCCCAATCAGTCTGTCAGTCAGTCAGTCAGTCACGTGCAAATACTGCTTATCCTTTCGAGTCACGGAAGCAGCAGCATTAGACAGCGTTTCCGACGTTGTGAACCTGTACCAGCATCTGACCTTCCGTAGAAGACAACATGAATCTGGAACAACGCCAGAGCAGGCACTTCCTCCTGGTTATACTTAGCCTTCCCCGGGGAGTTTGGCCGGCCAATCGAGCAAATATCAGACGTTTGAAAATCCCCCTAGGAAACATTCGTAAAAAATTCATAACTTGCACAGCTGTAACTTCTCAACATTCGATAATCGTCAGATTATATTTTTTAGGTTTGTCTATCACTTGTTTCGATCCCTTTTCATAGTTACCTGGGTATTTTTTAAACACCAGCTTAGCGTAGCAAGTGGAAGATTAGCGACCACTCACAGCATTGACAATTCTCAGTTGATAACTCTGCGATGGGAATGTTGAATGCCACAGTATACTTTATGTTGATTTATGGCCTGAATGCTTTAAAGTATGCGTAGTTACCGAACTTTTATTTTCGCATAAATCTTTTGTTATTAACGCGATATATAAACAAGTAAATCATCGGATTTCACAATGAATTGCACTAAACCTTTTTCCTTGCTGAAGAGGATGCCACAAAAGTGGGAAACAGTTCTCTGGTACCTGCGAAACTATGGTAGTAGATGAATGTCCCATCATTTCGCTCGAAGGAACAGTACGCGTAAAACCGGATATCACGACACACTACACTGCTATTTGCACCCAAATCCGTAGTGGTACGCTTCAGCAGGACAAGATTCTACGGCATATTTGCCCTTGCGGCGTTAGATGTAAGTTGCACCACTTTATTGATCTGAACCAATGACAGATCTGTCGGCAGAAGTTGAAACACGATGCTGACTGATCTGTTTAAACGGGTCCTTGACATTCAGGAGTAAACGGACGTGCTAAGCTCCTTGAAACTTGGTTCTGAAAGAGTTCACTGCATGTTACCAATGTTAAATTATCAGTGTTTGAGGCACCAGTGTGGTCAGTTCATTTGGAGACCGACGATTTTGAGAGTGTGAATTTAAAGAGTAATAAGTGACAAAAAATAAGCCGGGTGTCTTGGAGGAGCCTTCGATACCGCCGCTGAATCACATTAAATCACATTAAAAATAATAATGATACCATATTGAAACGAAAGCCGTTTCAATCCGGTGTCATT